TTGGTGAAAGTCCACAGTATTTTAAGCTATGATTATAGTATCTATAACAACTTACTGCACACTTACATTTTCCCTTATGTAAACTACTTGAAGGCAAAAACTGTTTTAAAAAATCTTTGTAGTCCTAGCATTAGAGTATTACTTAGTGATCAGTAGATGTTTGTTAAATGGATGACTAAGCAAAGGGATTTCACTAAGTACCTTTGATAGATGCTTAATATGTACTTTCAAGGAGAAAGCACTGTTTAGTCTCTAAAGAGAAAATCAAGACTTTGGTAATGGAATTAGATACTGGAAAGAACACATTATACATCATTTGAAAAAATGTTTTTAGAGAGAAATTAACACACAAAAATCAATCACATTTCTGACAGTATGCCAAGGTACATGTTGAAAACAAAATTAAAAAGACACCACCACTTACAAACACACCTGAGAAAAATGAAACACTCAGGTATAACTTTAACTAAATATGCACAGGAGTCGTATGCCAAAAACTGCAAAATGCCAATAGAAAAATCAAAGAATACATTGAGAAGTTCAACACAGTAAAGGTAATGTCTCTCCTCAAATTGATGTAGAGGTTTAATGCAATTCCTATCAATATTCCAGTAAAGACCTCTGTAGACATAGACAAACTTACACTACAATTTATATGGAAAGGGAAATCCCAGCTATAGCTAAAACAATCTTTACAAAATGGGATAAAGTGAGAGAACTCACTCCGCTTGATATTTAGCCTCACTATAAAAGGGCACCAACAAAGTCAGAGCAGTGCTGACAGAGATGGACATGTAGACCAAAGGTACAGAATAAGGAATTTAGAAATACACCCACATAAACATGTCCCACTGATTTTGAATAGATGTGCAAAAGTAATTCCATGATGGAAATGGAGGGTTTTCAACAAATGGTTCTGCAGCAATTGGACATCTATCCAAAAAGCTACATTTTGACCTAAACAAATCTTACATAATATACAACTATTTACTAAAAATGGATCAGAAACAAATTGAAAATGTAAAGCAATAGCACTTTTGGCAAAAAAAAAATTAAGGGAAAATCTTCAGGACCTAGGTCTAGGCAAAGCATTCTTCACACCAAAAGCATGATCCATAAGTGGGAAAAACGATAAACTGAACATCATCCAAATGAAAAAAGAAATTTGTTCTGCAAAGGATCCTATTAAGAGAATAAAACAACAAACTACAAGTGGACAGAAAATATTTGCAAACCACATATGCAAAATAGGGAAATTATCTAGAATATACTTAACAAATTATCAAAATCAACAGTAAGAACACAAATAATATGATTATAAAATGGGCAATAATATTTCACTGAAGAGGACAGAGATGGTGAAATAGCACATGGAAACATGTTAACTGTCATTCGCCATTAGGGACATGCATATTGAAACCACAATGAGGTATCATGATACACTGAAATGAATCACTGACAGCCTTGGCTGGTGTAGCTCAGTGGATTGAGTGTGGGCCTGCAAACCAAAGGGTCACAGTTCAATTTCCAGTCAGGGCACATGCCTGGGTTGCAGGCCAGTTCCCAGCAAGGGATGCATGAGAGGAAACCAGACATTGATATTTCTCTCCCTCTCTCCTTCTTTTCTCCTCTAAGGATAAATAAATAAAATCTTTGAAAAATGAATCATTGACAATACTGAAAGCTGAAAAGATATGGAGAAACTGGATCACTCCTATACTACTGGTGGAAATGTAAAATTTTACCAAACTGTAGTACAATATCATAATGAGGATGCTGCCATCAATACAGTCAAGACACAGCACGATGCTGTCACCTCAAGGAGATCTTGTCTTCACATCCACCTCCCTTGCCCATCAATCCCAAACTGCTACTAACAACTGATCTGTTCTCTGTGTCTATTTGTTTCAATTCAAAAATGTTATGTAAATGCAATCATACAGTATATGACTTTTTGGAAATGAATTTTTCACTCAACATAATTCCTTTGAATCCTCCCAAATTATTCCATGTGTCCTGTAGTTCATTCCTGTTTATTGTTGCATGATATGGACATTACCATAGTGTTTATTCATTCATTGAAGGACATCTGAGAAAAACCAGGGAAAGGATTAATGAGATCTCTCTATATTATTTCTTATAACTGAATAAGAATAGACAACTACTTCAAAAATAAAAATTTTAGTTAAAAAATTAGGGTGCCAAACCCTGGCTAGTGTAGCTCAGTGGCTTGAGTGCAGGCCTGTGAAGCAAAGGGTCACCAGTTCAATTCCCAGTCAGGGCACATGTCTGGGTTGCAGGCCAGGTCCCTAGTGGGGGCACATGAGAGATGACCATACATTGATGTTTCCCTCCCATTCTTTCTCCTTCCCTTTCCCTGTCTCTAAAAATAAATAAAATATTTAAAAATAAAATTTAAAAAATTAGGGTGCCAAAAATGTACTTTACTACCCTTTGGTGGGGGCATTAAAATGCTTAAATGTACATATGAAACTTCTAACAGAGAATAACTCTGAAGAAGGGGCTTAAAAAACTGGGGGTCAAGAGCACAGAAAAAAAATTTTTTTAGAATGGCAATGAAAGAAAAAAATACATGTGATGGAGCTTTCCCTCATTCACTTTTTCAAGAAAAATAAGATAAAAACTAAAGAAAGAGAAAAACTTAATAAAAAGCCAGGTACTATGGAGCAAAGAATTATGAGATATTATTCTGTCAAGAATAGATACAAAGAAAAAGGTGTAGAAAAGCTCTTATTCACTGCACTGATAGTAATCTTGGGCATTTCCATTACTTGCAACATGTAATTATAAATATTATGGTGTAAATGCAAATTAGCTACACATGAGCAGGCTTATTAAACCTTTTCAGTGGTAAGTCTAATACCCAGACCACTTATCAGAGAGACTAGAACCTTTGAGTAGAAGCTAACATTTTGAAACTTCTAATATTCTTTGAAAGTGAATTATTTCAAAACTCACAGTAACAGCTTCATGGCCTAATAGCTAACAACGTGCCAAAATGCCAGTGACTCAAGTAACAGGCCTGGGCTGTGTCCACACTGACACCAAGCTGTGCTCTACTTAAACTGCTGTTTGTGATTTTGAGTGCCACTTTCCACATTGGAAAAGGAGCCATGTCAACACTAGCTTCCCAGTACAATAATTAGAGTATTTGAATGTTAGTAGTAAGAGTATTTTTGGCCAAGGTTATCACTTTCTCTGGAGTTCCACTTGACACATACGCACTTTAAGGTGTTTGTCTTTTAGTTTAACCTCCCATTAAAATGCAGACATAGAAACATATGGCAAATATCACAGTGTTTGAAACTTCTTGACCTTAAATTTCTTATTGCAACTATAATTTGAAGAACATTTTAAGGCAGTTTCTCAGAGCATTGGATCACAGTATATATTTAAACACATCCAAGATTTGCAAGCTGAGTGCTTTAAAAATTCAGATTACTAATGTGAATGCTTCATTATTTTCCCATCAACAACACATAATGCATTTAATTGTTAGATTGTAGTCATTTAGCTCAATTCTCATCTCAGATAAATGAGGACACATGTTTGCCTCTCTTGAAGAATCACCTCTACACATGCATGAACAATCAGATATAATGCTTTTTTAAAGGAACACAACAGATGTGTATTTCAATCATATTACTATGAACCAAGTGAGAACAGCCAGTCCAAACAGTGTCCTTAACTATAGTATTATGGTAACTATTTATCAATGTGCCTACAAAATCTCTACTTCTAATAAGAGTTATGTTTGAATATACAGGGATTGGTAGACCCGAAGGGAAACAACGAGTCTCCAAAGAAATGGTGTATTTTGTTGTTTCACACTCAAGTCCACTGTTTCCTCAAGCACAATTTTCTGTTTAACCTTTTTATGTGGCTTTGACCTATTTTAATGTCCTAAAAATGCACATAGCCATGACTCAGCACAAAGTTAATTCTTACAATGCAGGGAGGCACAAACCTTATGACAGAGGAGTGATAGTGGCCAATTGGAATTTCAGAAATGGAAGTTGAATTCTGATTTGGAAAAGATACTAGGTTATTCTCAGAGCTTCTCCAAATTGAGAATGAACTAAATTAAATTTGTCTTTATCTCCCTTAAATAAGTCAAAAGAGAGAAAGACAAAGAAATAGATTGAAACACACCTTCTCTGTGCCCATACCCTGCTTTGCCAATGTTTTTATAGTCTAATGATACCCACAATCATTAAGGCTGGGTATGACTCACAACCCAAGAAGGGCTCACTTCTTAAACTGAGATCTCGTAACTGCTAATGTGTTACACAGATACTGTTTCGATGTATCATCATTAAGCAAACTACATGTGCCTCTTCTGCAAGCAGACAAAGCTGTGTGGATGTGTGATGAGTTTCTTTGGGGATAAGGGCACATACTTTATTATTAATCATTGTGTATTGGTCCTGAGGGACCAGGGTAAATTGTTGCATTGGCCCAGCACATTTAGTTAAGACAAAGATGTGGAACAAAGCATTCATATTCCCTAACACGGCAATGCTGTCCTCCTATTCTTGTGCACATACATACGTTACCTAAATCATCACTGCAGATGTGTGTGAACCAGAGCTATCTACGCTCTATCTGTCTGTGAAGGGCAATAACAAAATGTTACAACCCATTTAGCAATAAACTATGCATCCTTTCTGCAAGTCTTTGCTTACATCTGATTTGTGACATTTCACCCCCTCTATAAATTTTATTTCATAGTCTTTAGTAATTTCTGGCAACATAAGTAGATACCCAGATGGTATCTCTTTTCTCCATAAGCTGGAAATAATGTCTCAATATAAATTCCAATCCCATCTTTTTATGATTTAGATTCAAAATTTTAGGAAGCAGGAACACACACAAATATTGAGACAATGCCTTCAGTGAAAGGGAGAGCAGCAAAGTTTAAGTATGAGGAAGCAGCATGTGGCTTGTTTGAGTCAGCAGTGATAGAATTAAAAAGGTACCTGATGACACAGGCGTAAAGACCGCTATCCTGTAGTAACGTTGGTCGGAACCAAATGGAGTCTTCCTCCTTGCTCATTCTACTTCCATCAAAGGCTATCGGCTCTTCAAAGTCTCCAGGACCAGAGCTTTTGTACCACATCAAACTGAGTCCAGCACTTTGGGCTAGGGAGTAATTTGCTCTAATATAACCATAAAAGAGTGCACATTTGATTCGAACGGGCTCTCCCACCAAAACTTGGTATTTCTTGATATCGACAGACCAATCGGTGCATCCATCAGCTAAAGAAAAAAAGAAAACAGAAAACATTAGAGAAAATGTAATAACTACTTCATGTATTCATTATTCTTTCAACAAATACACAGTGAGCATCGATATTGGACCAGATTCTATTGCAGGCATGATGGATGCAGCCCTAGGTAAAACTCAGGATGGCACTGAGAAGCAATTTACTGTGCTAACAAACAACATATCCAATCACTTAGTTTACTTCTGCTGGAACTTATTCTTATATTTTATCACCATGATGGTTATTGGTTTATTGCCTTTCTACCCTGCATCCACCTTTTTGCCTGTTCTTTGAAAGTAGATCTGACCCTTTGAATTAGGTTTGTTTTTTTTTTTTGCCAGCTGGCCCTGAAGCTCTGTTGGTAGAGGATGCTGGAGAGACGCTGCAGGAGGACAGGGTTTTGCTCCATGGTCACAGCATGCTTGCTGTGGGGGTGGGCGGTGGGGCTCTTGCAGACTTTGCGGCTTCTCCATAGCACCCAGATCCTACAGTGCCAGGTAGCCAGCAGCTTGGCAAATTTTTTTTAGCATAACCTCATGGAAGCCACTTTCCCATGAACAGCTTTCCCAGGTACTTTAGAGGGTGAGATTCTGTAATATTCCAGAGGGCAGATTTCCAAGTTCTGCCAGGGTGGCACTTCAGTGACTTCTTCTGTTCAGTAAGCCATGTGCTTTCCCAATGAGGTTTGCCACTCACTCTGGAGATTGGAAGAGAGGGGTTTTTCCTTGGGTGCTGTACCTCAGCCATAGGGGTAATAGCAGATTTGATTCTTTTGAGTTGTGTTTTGCTATGCACTGAATGTCTGTGCTCTCCTAAAATTTGTATGCTGGAGCCCTTACTCAGAATGTGATTGGGTTTGGAGGAGGGGTCTTTGGGAGACAAGTAGGTTTAGAAGAATTTATGAGGGCAAGACTGTCTTATACATGTGCTTTTTCTCCCCATTCTCTCCCTCCTTTTCTCTCTCCCTCCCTTCCTTCAGGGGCTGACAGAGGACAGGCCTGTAAGCACAGGGAGACAGTGACCATCTGTAAACCATGAAAGGGGGCTTGCACCAGAAACCAAATCAGCCAGCACTTTGATCTCGGCCTTAGCCCCCAGAGCTGTGGGAAATACATTTCTGTTGTATAACCCACCCAGTCTATAAATCATCCTTACTACCCAATCCTTCATTATTCCTATACCTTATTACACTTAATAATTCCTTATAAAAACTTCTTTTATTCACATTAGTGTGTGGCATTGGTATCTGATTGGATCCACACTGTTCACAGCAGGAATACATCTTTTATAGCCAAAGAAGGCAGAAAGAAATACAACAAAAGTGGGTCAAGCTCAGGCAGTGGTTTCACAGCCAAAGACAGAGAGAGAAGGTCACTTGGGTCTGATTTCTGGCAGCATCAGGGGAAGGATAAAGTAGAAACCATGGTGAGCAAAGAGGCTGATGGGAGAGGAGACCAGGTGGCTTTTCCGTGTTGTCTGAAAGCACCATCTTCCATATGGCATCTTAACATCACTTTTTATCAACCCCACACACACTCACACAACACACTCATATACGCTGTGCACACACACACACAAAACAGGTCCCCACAGGTGGGGTTCATCACTATTAACACCATCATACAGACGTTGTGAATTGCCTGCTTAGAGAGAGCAGCTACCCAGTACTTAGCAAGACAATCAATGTGACAGCTCACAGGATACAAACACTGAGCTGTAGGTAAAACCCAAGAAAAGAGCACCTCTAACAGCAGTAGCATCTGAGTGTTGCCAGCACGGTTTAACTCACTGAGGATTAAAAAGGAGGGCAAGCTAAAGGATGTGGGAACAGGATGAATAATGCAGAATTTGAGAGAAGGAATATGATCAAGATAACAAGGAAGGAGTGCACTAGACAAAGAAGCCAGACAGGTAATCCACAGAGTCACCTACATTTCTTAGCTTAAAATAGTATCTAACATCTAATGAGCACTTAACCAGTGCTCAGTTTACAAGTTTTCATTTCCCCTCCACAAACATCCATTAAAGCTGTTGAGCTCTTTGCTCCCTCTATGTGCAACATTGTTCACCAACTGGCTGCCCCTGTCTCCTTCCCTTCCTCCAAATGTTACCTGCTCAGAGAGGTCTTTCTAACTGCTCTGTCTGAAACACCAGTGTCCTATTCTGGTCACTTACCCAGATTCTGCTTTAGTATTTTTTCAGGAAGGTACGTTGAATAGGGGAGAGCAAGAGGGGAAAAATTAGGACAGATGAAATTGAGCAACAATTAAAAAAGTAAAAATATAAAAAGATATCGCTATTTGATGTTATACTATGTACCCACTTTCTGTTGGCTTTCTGTCTCCCCAGAAGAATGTAAGCCCCTTGAGGTCAAGAACTGTATTCTTGTGAACTCATTTTTTTTAATTTTTAAAGATTGTATTTATTTATTTTCAGAGAAAGGGGAAGGGAGGGAGAGAGAGTGAGAGAAACATCAACGTGGAAGAGAAACAACCATCAGTTGCCTCTTGTGCACGCCCAACTGGGGACCTGGCTGGCAAGCCAGTTAAGTGCCCTGACTGGGAATCAAACCAGTGACATTTTGGTTTGCAGGCTGGCATTCAACCCACTGAGCCACAGGAGGCCAGGGCAAAACTCACTTCTTTAGCTCCAGTGTGTCAAACTCTGCTTGCTAACCAACTCAATGCACATTTACAAAATGATTGAATGAAGGACTGGATAAATAACAAGTAACTATTACAAATGAAGGAATTCAGCAGAATTTCTGGGATCTTCACCCAGCTGTGTCTGAACCTTGTATTCACTCTCCCTGCCATACTATTGTTTCCTGATAAAGGTATTTTCAACTTCACGACATTCTTTCATTTAGATAACTTCAATAACCAAAAGTTTGTCTAAGATTCCTAGTAAACATCTGTATTAGATGCTGTGTATAGAAGCTTGGTGGACATCATCAAAGTCCCAGCCATTGCCATCATTCTTAGCACACCACATTTCATAGGATGACACAACTATATACAGACATGTCAAGGTTATTTAACTGCACGTGGCATTTATTACCATGAATTGGTACATTTGACCCATTACATAAAATTAATGCTTGGTGGGATTTTTCTTTTAAAGTTATGTTTCTGGTGGTAAACATTACCTTGTGTTACTACTATATGAATTACAATTCTAGAATCAAGTAACTGAGGCCATCTGTCTCAGAGACACTGCTGCCAGTGAAAAAATGGAAACACCTTAAAGGTACCAGTGTCAATAGGAAGATAAAATTCCTCAAACTCTCAAAAGATGTGTAAGATAAAGTAAAATGCTTGAAGCTAAAGGGCAAAAATATTTAGTCTACAAAATTAGTAACAAGTTAGAGCAAGACAGTTGTGGGGATAGTGATATTAATATCGCAGAATTAACTAATTATATCAATATCAGAACATGCTTACTGAGAAAAGCTTGTTAAGTAAACCACAAATACTATGGAATATTAGAATTATTCAGTACTTAAATATGGGTCAAGAAAAACGTTTCAAACAGCTCACAGTCACATGACAGAGAAGAGACTGAGGTGAAGTGATGAAATAACAGCACCTTGTATTTCAGATGTATGTTCATTTAATATGGAACCAGATATAGGATGTATGGCTTAGAAAGGTTTACTATCTTTAAACTAAATATATAGTTTGAATAAACAAAATAAACTATACAACTATTACAGTGTTGTCATACTTTTTCTGGGTGAAGGTGGCAAATAATACAAAGAGCAATTGAAGATATTTTGAAATTATTTAAATATGCATCTAAATAAATGAAAGGCTATGTATGGCTTTTTCCAATTATTAAATGAAAACATTTAATTGAATGAAATAAATAATGAGTGATATCATTCCCTTTGTTAACATTTTGCCTCATTTGCACACTCTCAGAATGTGTTTGTATCACGTTTCCCTAAATCATTTGAAAATAACTTAAAGCAGAGACACAATGACATCACACCCCTAAATACTGTAGTATAATGTCCTTATGAATAGAGACGTTTTGCTTATATAGCCACAAAGTACTTTTTAAATCTTATGCAGGGGGACAAACCTTAACATTGAGGGACAGATATTTTAGATCTCAGATCTAAATAAAAAATGTAAGAAATTAAAACTTAGCTGTGGACAATCAGCATTGCTAGTGATTTATTCAGTTTGGCTTTACTTCAGCACTGAAGCTCTGTCGGCTTAGAAACAAACATTCTGAAACCTTACTTCTATGCACTGTGAGTTTCATTATGTAACTTATCAGGTAACCTTTATTAGTTTTAATTTTAATGTTATCATCTGGAGTTCTGGCCAAGATGGAGGCGTAGGTGGAAATGCTTCGCTTCCTTGCACAGCCAAAAGAAGGATAATGACCAATTTAAAAACAAAAAACAACCAGAACTGCCAGAAAATCAAACTGCATGAAACTCTGACATGTAAAGATTAAAGAAACATTCATCCAGACCGGCAGAAGGGGCGGAGATGGGTAGCCCAGTGGAGAGGACGCTAGGCAAGGCCGTGGAAGTCAGGAGCAAGCAAGCAGGGGCTGGCTGAATGGGAAACTAAAGACTCACAACCTCTGATTGAAAACACCTGGGACGGGGTGAGACCACAGTGGGAGAAACTCTCAGCCTCACAGGGGAGTCCGCTGGGGTGGCCCACAGGTTCCTAGAATGTACACAAGCCCACCCACCTGGGAACCAGCACCTGAAAGGGCACAATCTTCTTGTAGGAAGTGAGGGAAGTGACGTAAAGTAGAGGAAGAGCAGAGCCAGTGAGGAGCATTGATCCCTCTCTGACCCCTCCCCCACAGAGCCACAACCCAGTGAAAAGAGTTGTCCCGCCCTGATGACCACCTAAGGCTCCACCCCTTACAACGTAAGGGGCACACCAAGACAGAGAAACATGGCCCAAATGGAAGAACACATCAAACCTACAGAAAAAGAACTAAGTGATGAAGAGAGAGCCA